TCTTAAATACTGAATTTTTTTAATACCGAATTTTAAACACTGAATTTTTTTAACACCGAATCTTAAATACTGAATTTTTTTAATACCGAATTTTAAACACTGAATTTTTTTAACACCGAATCTTAAATACTGAATTTTTTTAACACCGAATTTTAAACACTGAATTTTTTTAACACTGAATTTTAAACACTAAATTTTTTAACACCGAATTTTAAACACTGAATTTTTTTAACACTGAATTTTAAACACTAAATTTTTTAACACCGAATTTTAAACACTGAACTTTTTAACCAAATTTTAATCACTGAATTTATTAACACCGAATTTTAAACACTGAGTCTTTTTAACACCGAATTTTAAACATTACATTTTTTTAACACTGAATTTTTAACACTGAACTTTTTAACCAAATTTTAATCACTGAATTTATTAACACCGAATTTTAAACACTGAATTTTTTTAACACCAAATTTTAAACACTGAGTTTTTTTAACACCGAATTTTAAACATTAAATTTTTTTTAACACCGAATTTTAAATACTGAATTTTTTTAACACCAAATTTTAAACACTGAATTTTTTTAACACCAAATTATAAGCACTAAATTTTTTTAGACATTTAATTCCTAACACTCAATTTTTATCTGGTAAAAATTCACCAGAAAAAAATTCAGCTGCAAAAATATGTAGCCGGAAATGTGTTGACCTTTTGGTGAACTTAAGCGAAAGCAATTTACACTCGATAGAATCGAGCAGCTTCTAGCCAATTAAATTAGCTCATTTGGTCACGTGACACAACGGCTGGGCTCAGCGCTGTTCCCGGCTGAATGGTGAATTGTGTAAGGAATTCAATGTCTAAAAAAATGTAGTGTTTAAAATTCTGTGTTAAAAAAAAATACGTGTTTAAAATTCGGTGTTAAAAAAAAGGCAGATTCCAATAAGACTGTTTATCTTCCATAGAATGTGATCCCTGAGGTTTATGTATGGTCAAAATAGATCATAAACGTACATAACGCAACATGACATAACATAACATAAATGTTCCATGAAATCAGTATTAGTAGAATTTATTTCTTAAATCCATCTTCTACTGCGAGATCCCTTAATACTTTTGCGAGATCCCGCAATAGTTTTGCGAGATCTCGCAAAAGTTTATTTTTTCCCTCCATGTCGCTTTAGGGGCTCCGTACTAATGTGCTGATGCACGTTGGGGGAATCAGACGGGAGCAAAATGTGTCAGTTTGCAGTGGCTGGAAAGCGTCCTGTGGATCCTGTTTGAACCTGTTCTATATTAGAGTGTCAACATGATGTGAACCTTTAGGTCAATATTCATTTCTGATACACTTCCCTTCCCTTTGACACAGTGAAAACAAACCACACCGCTGGCCGTGCTTCTGTTTCCCCACCGTCGTCATGTGACCAAACGAAGAACACATCACTACTCCCCCTTCTCTAAACCCCTCGGAAGTTTTTACTGCTGGATTTAATTAAAAACGATATTTAATAGCACTGTTAGATGCTGTCAACCAATTAGATGACTTCTGAAGGTGACTTATTGGTGGTACTGCATATTTCCTAGAGGTAAAAAAGTAAATGGGGGGATATGGAGGTACATCTAACAAACCAGCAGCAGTTTGGAGTTAATTACTGTAGATGTTTAGGGTATAACAGACCACGATGTTCTAATAGCTAAACCTTTTCACAGCATTTCCAATTTTCTGAGACTCCTGAACCTTTCCCTTTATTTGATAAATCTGTGGCTTTCTGTGAAATGAGGGGAAAAACTTTTTCCACCGTACTCTAACAAAAAAAAAAACAAAAAAAAAACGCATTCCTCTTTATTTTAGGACTATGAAGGGCTTTTGTCTGTGACCAGAAATCCCTCCCAGTTTGTGGGAGCTGTAGTGAGAGCTGATGGTTTCTTAGAAACCTGTTAAGTTTAGGGATAGCGTTCCTTATTGTCTGGGGACATTAAGGCTGTTTCCAGATTAAACGCCACGTGACCCTAATCCTGCACAAATCATTAAGACCAACACTATGACAACACAATGCTGTGTGAAGCCAAATTTTTCAGTGAAATTCTACAAATTCAGACAAACAAACATGAAAAACTAAATTATACTGAATTCAATTCAATTCAGTTTATTTCTATAGCGCCAATTCACAACACATGTCATCTCAAGGCACTTTACAGTTCAACCAGATCATCCAGTCAAATTCATTCAATGTTTTCTATCTAAGGAAAACCAGTTGATTGCATTGACTCAATGGAGACAGTGGAGAGGAAAAACTCCCTTTTAACATGAAGAAAACTCCAGCAGAACCAAACTATGAATAAAAAGATTTTTCCATATAACAGTTGTTAAAAACCTTTCTTCTAAAGATCTCTGGTAAACACCTTCTTTCTGTCTTCAGAGCCCTGACCATGCTTGCGTCCTTCTTTCTTCTGCTTCTCTGCGGGCTTTTGGGAGGCTGCGTCCTGTCCGTCTGTCCGTCCGTGTGCTCTTGTAGTGGGGGTCACCGTGATGCGGACTGTTCTTCTAGAGGCCTGACCAAGCTGCCACGCGGCCTGCAGCACAATATCAGGTTCCTCAACTTGTCTTTTAACAGGTAAGCAACTGTAGGTCTACACTGCAGCCTCCATGCAAGAGGTTAAAATAACACATACCAGAAAATGTTTGTTTTTAGGAGTGAGCATAAATGCTGCGCTCAGACAGGAGGCAAATGATAGCCAAGTACAAAGAAGTGAGCATGAATCCATCTTTAAGAGCTTAAAAGTCTTAGTTTCATCGTTAAAGTTAATCCTAACACAATAATATGCTTTAACGGGATGGTTGCATGTAGAATTTTATGCAAGTCTGTAAAAGAAGTCTTTTCTGACAGCTTGCAAGTCCTCGGCGGCGAGCTCGGCCACTACGCTCAGCTACGAAGCCTGGATCTGTCCTTCAACCACCTGGAAAGCCTGCCGCCTGTCCTGCCCAGGTCTCTATGGGACATTAAAGCATCATGGAACCATCTTCGCTCTCTGGACAAGAACGACACAGCTTTCCACTGGAACCTTAAACAGCTAGATCTGTCACACAATGAACTGGAGAGAATAGTTTTCATCAACAACACCCTCCTCAGCGTTAAATCTCTCAACCTCAGCCATAACAGATTCTGGACCGTGCCCACCAACATGCCTCAGAACCTGGAGAGCATCGATTTGTCTTTTAACTATTTGGTTCAGATTCTGCCTGGGTCTCTGGACCGCCTTCCAAGGCTGGTCAAACTGTACCTGCATGCTAACCACTTCTCCAGTCTGACGGGAGGCGTGTTTGATAAACTGACGGCACTGGAAACCATAACTCTTGGAGATAATCCCTGGGCATGTGAAGAGGAGAACATAACGGGAATCCTTCAGTGGGCAGAGAAAACTGGTGCAACCGTTCTGGGATGTCCCTGCTTTACACGACCCGTCTGTGGACAAAACCATCTGGCCACCAGAGACGGAGAACCGGAGCCAGCTCCACTTACAGAGGAAACCCTCTGGGTGAACAGCAGAGGAGAAGGATATGATGACGTGTCCACTTCAAGGACCATCATGGTCACCTCTACCTATGAGGAAAACCCTTCTCTGTATCAGACCGGGTTGTTGGTGTGGACGTCCTCTACAAAGTCTCACAGCGTCTCTGAAGACACCAGCACCGTTAAGCCCAAGATGGCCAGCTCTGTGAGCAACGCTCAGACAGTTGAGCCTCAGATGAAAATTGTGACTCTAAATTTTTTACTTTGTACGATAGCAACCAGCATGTAGGAAACTAGTATTCTCAGGGAAAGAACCCCGATACCCTGATGCTTCACACGTTAAAATAGAAGCCTGGTCATATTCAGAATTCAAACTTCTGAAAGTTTTAAAATATGAAATTATTCCATCCTGTTCAATAAATAAGTGATTTTAATTCAGAGTAATTTTCATGTGAATGTGCTTTACTGGAGGCATCCATGTTTGTCAAAGAACACTACTGCCACCTACTGGTTAGTGACGTCACGGTGCGGTATCGGCTGTTGATCAAGTCCCAGTGCTGTATCTGGTGTTTGTCACAACGCGCTATTATCCAAGTCATCTATTAAGCATTCTTCCTCGAAATGTTGGCTACATATTACGGGTTTTTTCTCTGGCCAGAAGTTCGATGGCAAATCCTCCCTCTTCAAGTTGGCGATGCAACGACCAACCCGTCCGTGGAGGATCAGGAATCAGAAAGGTGGAACAAATAAAAAGATTTTTCACTTTTACCCGATGTATTCCAGCATCCAGCTGCCATGCACGTGGGCATTGTCAGTTTCACTATAGCTCTGGTGAATTTCAATGGTGAAGTCCTCTGGAAATCTTCAATAATTGTTGTTGATTGCAGATGTGTCTAGTAGTTCCCATTGATTTAGCTTGGAAAGTGGGGAGAATGGCGCTAGGCTTACCGCACCGTGACGTCACTGCTTGAAGATGGCAGGAGGGAGGGGTTACTATATTTGGGCAAAAATGGCCGCTCCCAGAATCAGTGATTGCAACAAAAATTTTTATTTATTTTTTTTTACAGATTAACGCTGAATTAATTAAATCATCGCAAACGTATTAGTTTTAGGTATAAATAGTGATCCATCGATTATTCCTTGCTGACCGGACTTTTCCTTTAATAAATATCATGTTTACTATATATTATTAAGATCACAAGTGTATGGAAATGTTTTTCTTTTTGTGAAGAAACACAAAATAAAACATGGAAAAGTTGGAGATATGATGAATAACCGGTTATTTCATGGAGGTCATTTGTACATCAGCCTAACAGAAAAGCTATAGGATTTACAGCAGGAGTTTAAGTAAACAGGCAGGAAGGAGGTGAAGAAAGGAGAACCATCCGATTCCAGGAGCAGGATTCCGCCTTTTTACATAAACATCAAGAGTTGGTTCATTTGGCTAATTCTTTTTTTTTATGTGAAATTCTTCCATTTAATAACTAACACTAAATCAAAGTTTTAATTTATACTTCAGTTTCAAGTTTGTTTTTTCTTACATAAATGACCTGACATCGGTAGAGATGTTTAAACAATGTTCTTTGTTAATTTGATCGTCTGTATTTTTGCCAATTAAGTTCTGTCAAATACAGAAAAGAAAGTTTACACTGGAAGTTTTGGAGAAAACCTAACCGAACTTAAAGCCATAATCTTCTTCTCTGAGTGTTAACCCTAATTCTAAAATTGGTGGATTGATGGATACTTCCAGCATTGATGGTCAAAATGGCGGCACCCTGCTTCTGCACTACTGGACACTTTGAAGAAAGAGAAGGGGCCAAGATGCTGCAGAGGTTCCTATGCAGCAACGGTCTGGATCACAGCCTGGGATTGCTGCATCGAGGACACAGCACCCTAATCAAGCCGCTTCGGGTGCTTTGTGCTGCGGCACCGCAGACTGAATTCCAACCAGTTTAACACCAAAAAGTTATCTTTAGTCAAATTTAGTTGCATCTATCAGTCAACTATTAACAAGCTGTAGTTTGAACAATTCAATTTCAATTCAGTTTATTTCTATAGCACCAATTCACAACACACTTCATCTCCAGACACTTTACAGAGACAATTCAACCAGATCATCCATTCAGACTGATTTTTATGGAAAACCAGCTGATTGCATCGACTCATTGAATTGAAGGCAATTCCTCACATAGACATAATATAAGAATAGACACCGCATTGACTGTTGCTGTGCAGGAATTACTGGCGCCATCTTGGGGAGGTCGACCTGCTACCATAAGCAGCTGGTTTAACCAGAGAAGAAGAAGGATGCCTCAGCATTGTGCAGCATATTTTTCTTTGAATCGATGAATCAAAGGATAACTTGGTGTAGTAATCAGAGTTTTTTTTAACATATATTCACACACAAAGAGAGAGAGAGGGGTGCATATATATTTGTGTATACCTGTATAAAAATGTTTTTTGTATATAGTAATAAAAAAATATATAAACATTTCTGATTAGCTGTGATTTGCAACATGTATGCATCCGATCAGAATATTCTATTAGTCTTAACCCAACTAAGAATATTTAGAAGCACTGAAACATTTGTTTTTGTTTTTAGCAGAAAAAAAACCAACATGATTTTAAGTTAAATATTCAGCAATTTAAAGTTGATTAAAATTTATTCTGTTCCTGCTCAACACATTACACTGAGTGGAGCTGTCGGCCGCCCCAAGATGGCGCCAACAAATCACGTCAGCGCTCGTAGGCGAAAGCCGTCGATGCGGGTCTGCTTATATTATGTCTATGATTCTTTTACGCCAAGCATGCTTGTGACGACAGTGGACACGAAAAACTCTCTTTGAACAGGAAGCGACCTCCAGCAGAACCA